TACAGGAGCTGTATCCTGTGGACAGTGTTTGTGTGTGTGTGTGTGTGTGTGTGTGTGTGTGTGTGTGTGTGTGTGTGTGTGTGCGTGTGTGTGTGTGTGTGTGTGTGTTTGTGTGTGCGTGCGTGTGGCCTAGCATTACTATACTTGTGGGGACCTAAATCTGTTTACACAGTCACGTGTGGGGACTCGCCTCCCTTATGGGGACATACTGGAGGTCCCCATGAGGGGAATCATTAATTTTAGGGTGAAGACTTTGTTAGGGTTAGGGTAAGGGTTGGTTATGGTTAAGGTTAGGATAAGTCTCCAGGAAATGCATGTAAGTCAATGTAATGTCCCCTGAAGTGATGTATACATGGTATGTGTGTGTGTGTGTGTGTGTGTGTGTTTTAATTCACTCCTATTTCCCAGTTATGATCTGGTTAAGAGATTAAATTCAGATAACAGACAAAAGCTCTTGTCCTGGTTTTCCCTACATAAGCTGTGATAAGGGGTCGTGTTGATGATCACTATCTGCTCTGTGCAGGAGGGACATGTTGCTGCTTTAAGTCTGCAACAAAAAGAAAAGCTTCCCACTTTTGCACGTCAATGAAAACGACTTTATTTAAGAAACTGTTTTTAAGCTTTTGAATGAAGTTTTAACACTTTGTCAGGTGACAAACTCATTGATATTACCAACATGTGATCATTTCATCCAAATGACACATTTTGGGAATGTACGCCAATGTTTGGAGCTGTGAGGAGCTGCGGCTGTGTGAGAGCGGCTTAAAAAAAGCGTGCATCAACATAGTTTTAATAATGACTCTCACTGGCAGAGGTGTAGACACAGGTCCGGGGGGTTTATCTGTCAGATCTGAGGTTTATGGACATAAGAGAGAGTTTGTGTGGGTGTCTCTTTGTCTATTGTGAAAAAGAACTAACAAATCTTTTTAGTGTCCAGTTTGTAAATGAATGATACTGATGCAGTCAATTGAAGAGTTTTATGGAGCGGGCCGCACTAGAGTTTGAATTTGCACATAGCTGTCACAGAGAAACAGATTCCATGTTAAACAAAAAGCATCAAAACCCAAAAGGTGAAATCATTAAATCATTATCATGACTCAAAGGAACCGATACTGTGTTTGTCTACTGTGTGTGTGTGTGTGTGTGTGTGTGTGTGTGTGTGTGTGTGTGTGTGTGTGTGTGTGTGTGTGTGTGTGTGTGTGCCCACGCTGCTCTGCCTGACATGTAGGAACTTGTTGCTGCACACTGACCTGTTTAAAGAGACTCTTATAATTACTGCACTCAGGAAGTAAAATACATTTTCGTTGCTCATTTTAGGCCCACAATTTAATTGGTAACACTATTTCTCATTCTTATAATGTCAAACAAATACTAAAATAAAAGCTAAACATCCAGTTCTCTTAACTTTATGTTGTGAGGGTTTAGTATTTGTGTCTCTTTAGTTATAACTCAGCTATAAAAATATAAGTGTGTTCCTTGTTTCTGTCGATAACTGTGTTTAAAGGGAAACTCCAGAAAGACTCCAGGAAGTGAGAAATCCTGTATGTGTGCTGCTCACGTCTCCTCAACACACTGCAGGATATTCTCCAGTGTGTGTGTGTGTGTGTGTGTGTGTGTGTGTGTGTGTGTGTGTGTGTGTGTGTGTGTGTGTGTGTGTGTGTGAGTCATCATGTACAGGGCGTCCAGCAGCAGTCACTTCAGCTCAAAGATAAAAAGCAAACAAATCATTTGCATATTTGATGCTCCCACTTCATACAGAAACTGAGACACAAGCTGTTTAATGTTTCAGTTTCTTGAGTCACCGATGAGTCAGTCTGATGTTACAGAAATGACATGGACTGCAACTTAGGAGAAATGTCATGTGTTTTGTTTGGGTGTTGGTCATAACAGAGGTGTGTAAAAGAAGTAAATACAAAATAATTCAAGCTTAACTTTACTCCAAACATGAAGGTTTATTAGTGTCCAACACTTTGGTTTATTACCAAAAACATGCAAACTAATAACATCCTTATCAGCCTCAAGTGTAGTCTGAATGTTATGCAAATAGTATAATATATATGAATCATTATTAAATGTTTTCTTACTCTGGCTTCTGTATATTTAGTTTTGGTTACCATTCAAGAGTTTGTATTGATGACACTTTACTGTTTCCTGCATTATGTACATTGGCGTGCTGATTTTAGCATTTAACATGTGCTTTCAACAGGTTAGGTTAACCCTTTCCTGTAGTGTGTTATATAGTTATATAATGGTCTGCAAAGACTAAAATCCCTGTGCTCCCTGCAGAGGGAGTTTCTTTCCCCCCCCCCCGCCTGAAACGTCTCCATTGGCCTCCTATTGGCTAGCGCTCCAACACATTGTACGTGATAGGCTAAGGGGCGGGACATCTCTAAGCGGTTGACCAATCACAACAGAGCCGGCCAGCTAACCAATCAGAGCAGACTGGGCTCTGGTTTCAGACAGAGGGTGAAAAGAGGTGCTGCAGCACAGGCAGTATGAGAAAAATAAAGAGCCTTGTGAACATGAAAGCATGCAGACATGTCCCAGGAGAGACCCCTTTAAGCACCACTGTGACTAACTACAGCCTCACTAGTAAGTCCTGTTACTTTATGAATGACTTAAATAAGGAAATTGATTAACTGGATCAGCCAATTGAAGCTGTAGACACTGCAGCACACAGAGAAGCAGCACAGCTGTGTCTTCCTCATCTTATATCAGAGTTGAGTGTAACTGGCATCCTGCAGAGTGTGTGAGTCCAATGTCGAAGTCTTACATAATACACACAAAGTGCTGATTGTACTGCGAGCAGAGTGAACGTCTGTCAGTCTGCTGTAACTCCGCCTGCTCCACTTTTTAAACTGCTGCTGCTCCACACCACATTCTTCTCTTTAAAGCTCGACTCCACACCAGGAAACTTACAGCACTGACCTTTGATCCCCCAGCTGCAGATCTGAGTCACCACAACCAGTGTCAACACAACTCTGCAACACTGGATTTATACACGCTGTCTAAATGTAACAAATCATGTATACAGGTATCATTTACACTTTTTATACATTCATTCTCCGATTCTTGTGGCCACTATTGAATGCCATAAAACGTAAACTCTCCAGTCAAACTGATGTCTACAACTCACACTAACTTCACCTGGAGTGAACCCGTAAACTAAATCAAATTGCTTAGTTCAACAGTGGATGTTACATATGACATTAAGAAAGCAAGCATTTGTTGGTTGTTTCTTAAATTGAAAGTGTATTGTTTCCCGATATCCCTTTTATAAATAGGAATTTAAGGCCATTATCTTTTGGTTTGTTTATTTACTGCAGTTCACACACGATCATTATATTCTAGATATCATTACATTAGGGCTTCTAGATTACACAGTGGATTTTAGTGATAAAATATCAAACAATATGACACATGACAAGTTGAGGATGTCATTGGTGACAGGTGAAAATGTATTTCCGGTTCAGGCTTTTCCACACTAAATACTACTTTATCTATTTATTGATTATTATACTTTTGATTGTTAAAAAGTAGAAAGTCTAAAGAGTTGGCCTGATTCAGTACATATGGTTAAAATATCAAAGCCTGTATCTGCCTCAAAAATCAAGTTTCAGTCTATTTAATTAATATTAAAAACATGAGTTACTTATCACACAAGCTGGGGACATGACAGGTGTGTTTGTTGATACTCATACCAGAACATAGAGAAGTAAAGTGGGAGGGGCTGCAGCTAAATACGTTTTCCATTATTGATTAATCGGTGGAATTTGTCCTTGATAAATCAATCAATTGTTTGGAAATGTTAAATAGTTGGCCCCATTATAGTGTCTTTTATTTGCTTTGTTTATCTGGATAACTTGAAGATGATTCAATTGTTGTGATATATAACAAAGAACAACTGCAAATCATCACATCGAGATATTGGTAGTAGGTAATGTTTGGCATTTTTGCTTAAAAAATTACTAAAAAGACTTTGAGATTATACAAGTTGCACACACATGTGTTATTAAATGATCATTGCAGCTTTAGATGACTACTAGAACTAAGTGAATTAAAACCCTTATAAGACCAATCATTGAACGTTACATTACAGAGGATAAAAGTCATTTCTGTCAACATTTTTGGGGATTTAAAAGCCATGTTTTCACCATTTCCCTGACCTAAAGACTTGCTCACATGTCTGTCTCTTCACTCTGGTAAATATAAATCACTGCGGGTGACAGTGAGCGCGGTTTGCAGCTGTCAGAGTAGCAGCTGGTTCCCAGACCCTCCGGACCTCCAGGCCACCGGCTGCTCCCCGCCACCTGCCCGCCACCAGGCACCCACACCCGGCCACAACCTCCACACAGCACCGTGGGGAAATACGGTTCTTCTCATTACATTTTCTACATCTAAAAAAATGTACTCTTTCTGATTGTTAGGATATATTTGACTTTTAATTGAAAGTTAATGTGCACAATTGTTATGATTGGTTTATTAGAGAGTAATGTATTCTGTATGTTATAATATCCTTCTGAATGTATGTCTTTTTTAGTGAGAATATGTAGGCTATTGTTTTAAAAGGTTTATTTCTATTCTATTTTTAAGAAATGTTGTAATTATTGTACATTGACTGTCAAAATGCTGCTGTGCCATAACAATTACCCAATTTGGGATTAATAAAGTACATAATAATAATAATAATAAAACTTTATTTATATAGTACCTTTTTATACAAATAACAATGAGTAAAAATAAAGAGTAAGGAACATATGTAAAGGTATACACAAATATATCTATCTATCTGTTAACCAGTCAGCCCCTGTTTAAGTAATGGTTTTAACTACAATCAAATATTTTTAACACTATATAAAATAACAGCAGCTTTCTCTCATAAGTTACAACACTAACGGCTCTATAACCGACCAACGGCTGCCACTGTGACCGACAAACGGCTCTCCTGCCGGGCAGCACCAGGACAAGTTAGTGGGTATAAAAGGTGGTCTGTCACTCACCACATGTAGCTAGTCCCATCCAGGGTCTCCTCTGCTGCATGGGTGTCGTCGGTGAGGCCGGGAACAGGAGCTGTTTTACGGTCAGGAGGAAGACGAAGAAAGGGAAGAAGATGGAGGAGAAACCAGCAGTTAGTCCGTTTAAATTGTCAGTTTCTACTCCGCCATCGTTTCTCCTTCTCCGGCGGCGGCTGCCTCGACCTCAACACTCACCGAGCTCCGCACACAATGGCGAAGTGGAGGTGGTGGAGGAGGAGGAGAGGAGGAGATGTGTCACCGGGGAAAGACAGTCAAGCTGCGGTTAGGTTAAGAGACGGCAAGAAGCGCCATTAACGTAACTTCTGGTGATAGACTTCAAAATAAAAGTGGTTTCCGGTTAATTTCGCTGTTTACAGGTCCCCTATTATTATACTGTTTTTCATCAATATATTACAGGTCTCAGATATACAGAACATGTCTCTGAAGTGTTTGCCTCTTAGTTACCTTGGTTGGTGATTGGCTAATGGTTACACAAGCCAAAACATCGTTATGACATCATAAAGTGGCCAAAATCTGATCAGATCATTTTTAGACAGGTTTTTATATAAATGGATCAGGGCAAAAAGAGAGAGAATCTATTTCTATTTTATTTATTTTTTGAGAAAGGGGCAGGTAATATAACATTATTTTCTTCTCCCTGCTCCTTTTCGGGTATGGTGTGTTTATATATAAACACACCATACCCGAATTATTTACAAAACATGTCTAGAGACATGTTTTGTAAATAATTGTTATACATTAAGTTGTGCATACCATGAACAGAACAAATAAAAATGAAATGAAATGATCAAGATTGAAGGCTTTATTGCCATTTGCACATTAGCTACAGTGTAGGAAAACGTAGGTCACAGGCTCCTCCAACAGTGCAACATGAATATAGGACATAGAACAAATAAAACAAATAAAATAGTGCAAGAGAATGTTTTGAGATGTGCAAGTTAATACAAATAAATGAGTCATGTCGCTTTGAGTCTAAACTTTGCTCATCGCTGTGACACTTTCCATAGAAGAGTCCGTACTGAAGTCAGAGTTCAACGATGTTTAATAAAGAAACAAAACAATAATAACCAAGTTTGGACCACACGGTCAACAGAAAAGGTCAGAGCAATTGACCCTCTTTGTCATCCACAAAACCGGTGTGCGACAGGTGACCTAAATACCAATAAACCATATTTATTTAATGTCTTGTTAATTGCACTGTTGAGGAAAGTGCGATCTTCGTTGTTCATTCATTACATAATTACACCGTAGTTGTGTTTATGTAATGACAATAAACCTTTGAATCTTGAAGTCTTGGATCCATGTGACAATTATAGAAATAATAAGCATTGGAAAAACAAGCATTTTGGCTCCTACAGATGCTTTAAATTCTTTTGTAAAACTTTTTCCAAATGATAGTTTTGCCAACAAAAATGACTTAAAGGGGACCTATCATGCAAAATGCACTTTTTGATGTCTTTTATACATAAATATGTGTCCCCGGTGTGTCAGGGAAGTCACGCAACGTCAGAAAATAAAACCCTCTCTCTTTTCCGCCGTACCCAAATCTCTAAAAACGGGGCTACAACGGAGCTGATCCAGATTTGCGTCCGATATGATGTAATATCGGAAATGTGGACCCACGGCCCTATCAGAAAGTTGCTATCAAAAACAATGCCCGACTGTTTTGGACGTAATATGGTCGGTGTTTACATTAGCATCGCTAACACTCAGAGCTGGTGGCGAAGTCGATAGGGAGTTGGCTTGGCAACTGGAAGGTCACCAGTGCAAGACCAAGTGCTACCGAGGTGTCCCTGAGCAAGGCACCGTTCCCTACACTGCTCCCCGGGCGCCGTTCAAAATGGCAGCACACTGCTCCTAACACTAGGATGGGTCAAATACAATTTCCCCACAAGGGATTAATAAAAGTCCAACCTGTACTGGAGAGCTTGTGTGTGAAGAAGCAGGAAATAAAAAGGAACTCACCTTGTGGTATAACCGGCAAGAGAGAAAGCCTTTGAGCTCCATACTGTTTCAGAAATAATCCTTGATAATCCATGATATGGGGTTTCATCACCGCAGTATCTGCCGGTAGAATCTCCCGCATGAGCAGGCATAAGCTCCGCCCCTCTTTTTTTTATCAATATATATATTTTTAAAGCTTTATACTCAAAATCAGCACTTTTGAAACAGGAAGTGAAATAGAGGGATATGAGGCATGGCTAGAATGGGTGATCTGTTTGGTATTTTGAGCAAAACACTTCATAGACATGTTTTTTTATATATTTTTATATATCTGAGACCTATGCTATAGCCTAAAAATAGCATCATAGGTGACCTTTAATATCTAAAACTATGAAACTTCCTCAAATAATTCTTGAATATCACAAAGAAATTATTAAATATATAAAACAATGGCTCCATTTACCAACTTAATGACTTAGGAGTATCTCCTAATAATGTTTTAGTATGTTTGAATATATATAACATTCTCGAAAACGTGACTTAAGTAATAACTGTGGGATAGTAAGTCATCATTTGAGACACTAAGTCCTTATTTCAAATAAGTTTAGTGATTATTTAAGGAGGTTTTTCTTGATGTAAACATGCAAATAAATGTGAGAATTAACCAATTATTCACTATATTTATTTACTCTCTTTTAATTTGGCTACACAAGTTAAAATAACCCAATATAAAACCAACAATTGATGTGCGTTCTTGATAATAGATATCTGTCAAGAGAGGTAAATAAAGTAAAATCAGTCTTCATTTTTAAAACATGAGGAATCTAAAGCTTTTACTTTGAAAGCCACCTGGAAATGGCGAACATGGTGACCTCGCAGTGGAGAGCTTGATGATCTCCTGGTGTTCACAGCACACTGACAGAAGAGTGGGTCACTGTGGGACCTTTTTGGAGACAATTATACTAGTTTGTATGCAGGAGTTTACTCACCAAAGGGATATATGAGGATAAAGAGGACGTAACTGTAAAAATAGTGAAAGATGCCGTCACAATTACCCAAAGTGACACCTTTATGTCCAACCAATGTTACAAAGACACTTTACATGTTATTGAATTCAAGCGTTGAAAATTATCGTACAAAACAATCAATCAGAATGCTTAATTTTTCCTGGGTCAAAGTGTGTTTCCTGAAAGTCGCTCCATTTTAGAAGAAATAACACAAAAAAGGTAAATACAAAATAATTAAGATAAAATAAATACTTAGAAAATGAAGTTGGAATGTCAACAAATGTATACAAATATAATAAATAAAGTTAAAAGTCCATTAAAGATAAGAAAAATAGAATAAAATATGTATGTAAACATAATAAGTTACACTAGAAAAGGGCACATTGTAGTAACAGGTATACAGTGTTGTATTTGGGTTAAACAACACTCTTGAAATGCATTAACATTAATTACACATTAATAGCACTTTTAAAAAGGTAGAGACTTTAAGCCTCATGACATCTTTACCGGTTCAGCACTGCACCATTACTTCTTACAGTGTTGCTGCTTCACACACAGCAGACCCGCCTCTCATAGTAAATAAAAATCGCTCTACTCCCGCCAGGATCAAACGAACTGTCATTGGTTAACCTGCTGATTAGTGATTATTTAATACAGAGTGTTTTTTAAAAGAGCTTTTAGTTCAGTTCCCTTTGACTGCTGCAGTGTTTTCTGTCTGTTTGTGCGTGCGACTGTTTTCCTGCTTCTCCTGCTGAGTGAAAAACCACAAATATGTGAAGCATTCCAGTTATTCCGCATTGGACGTCACATCTCAATAATATTCAGGCAGAGAGTCTTCTACTGTCCGCTGTGCACAGGGACGGAAACTGTTTCATATACTAACAAAACACCCCCAAACTACATTTGGTCTGACAAGCTCTTTGTATAGTTTAAAAAAAAAAAAAAGTTCACCTATCCACAGTATTCCTTGCCCACATCATTCCTTTGGTCAACAGGTGAATTACTGACAAGATTCTATTTGATTCGCTTAATTGTAGTCTATATCGATAAGCTGTATGTACTCAAATATTGACATGTCTCCATGCTTTCATGTTCAAAAAGCTCTTTATTCTTCTCATACTGCCTGTGCTGCAGCACCTCTTTTCACCCTCTGTCTGTAACCAGAGCCCAGTGCTCTGATTGGTTAGCCGGCCGGCTCTGTGATTGGTCTACCACTTATGGCGCATTTCCACTACAGCGCGGAGCTCGCTTTAACCCCTAGATTCCACCGGGTCCGTCTGCGGCGCGTTACGGGCGCGTTACGGGCGCGTTACGGCTGCGCCGCGGTGCTCACGGCGATCGCGGCCACTCTAGTCAATGGGTGCTATTCCACCACACGCGGCGCGTTACGGCTCAGAAGCGTCCCAGAAGCGTCCCAGAAGCGTCCCAGAAGCGGCTCGGCGCAGGGCTCCTCTAAAATTAGGATCGAATCCTATTTTTGTCGCGGCGCAGCCGCAACGTAAGGTCGGGCAGGCAGGAAGTGGAACGTTCAGAGCATATATAGCATATATAAATATATATATACACACACACAAACTCATTTTGCAGACCCTATCCCTCCGTAGTCTTTCAAGTAGGAGGAGAAATGCCAGCGTTCTCCTCCGGTTTACAGGCACTGTGTAAATTATATAGAATAATTATGATGATGAATGCATTTTTTTACCACTAAAATACAGCAACACATCTTTGATTCATGTCGTTTATAACTGGAATATTACAGTTATTATTAACTTTGTCTGTACAAAGTAGCCTGTCCAGGAAATATGCCCAAATCAACAAAAACAGGCAAGACGCTCCGCTTCTGAAATGCTTCTGAAACGCGCCTGGTAGGTTATGACGCCGGAGGAGGCCGGACCAAAACCGCGGCGCAGACGGACCCGGTGGAATCTAGGGGTAAGCGTGCCGAGCCGTGCACGGCCCGTTTTTGGTTGCGTTTCCACTTGGCGTAGTTCCGGCTAGCGGGTACTATTTCACAGTTTTTCTGGCCCCATAAAATCGAGGTTCTTTCCGGGCCAACAACCAGGCTGAGTCTGGCTGAGTATGCTAAACTAGATAGAGAATCGCTGGCAAGGGGGCTACAACTACAACAAAATGAACATATTTGACCGTGATTTAATTGTAATACACGTTTCAAAATGAAGCCGAAGTAACAACATACTGATACCGGTTAGTAAAATCCATGAATTAATGCTTTGACAAGTCTGCAGACAGACGGCAGGCGAAAAACCTTTTAAAATGCG